TGGGTTAAACTATACCCTGGGTTAAACTATACCCTGGATTAAAGTACATCTTTCTTTCAAGCAAGTACAAAAATATGTTTTCACAAATATTTCCATCCCCTTTAGATAATAACAACTGTCTCTCTTAAAGTTTACCTGAATGTTGGAAGGTAAAATGTTTTTATGAGCCTTGTACATAAACAGTAAAATATTATAATCAATCAAATCATAGAATTTCTAAATTTTCAGTTTACAAAATAATGTGTTAGATGGATGGTTGTAATCTTTTCTTGCGATAATTCTTACGGCTGTTTCTTGTAAAACAAAAATCGGATTTGTAATTTCCTGTGAGAGTGCAGTTTGATTGCTTATTGTTGAAGGATTTTATGCTGAAAGTTGCTTAAGTCAGGTAGAAGTATCTAAAATTGGTGAAAAGAAGCTAAAACCAGCAGAAACAAGTCAGCAGACAGACAATGAAAGGAGAGAAAAAATATTAATTAGAAGAAAAACAAGAAAGAGAAACAAAAAATGTGTTCTATAAAAGCTAAAACAGCTAAAATTAACTTAAAAGTGCTAAAATGATGCTGAAAAAGCAGAAATTAACACACAGAAGCAGCACAAGCACATTGGCTGATTTAATTGGTAAGAAGCTAAAATAGGTAAAACTTTCTAAAAGTAGGTAAAACTGCAGAAGACAGCTGAATTATCAGAAAGCAACTGAAAGAAGCACAAAAAGAATAAAATAGCTTAAAGAAGCAAAGAGTTTAAATTGGATGAAGAATAGCTGAAAAGGCAGAAAAAAGCTAAAATAAAAATAAGCTAAAGGAAGCTGAAATTAGCAGAAAGAAGTCAAAAAAGCAGTACCAGAACAAAATGTAAAAAGATCTAAGGGTTTATCATTAAAGACCGTGTAAATTAAAAATAAACGTGTCCAGAGTTTGTGTTATGTGTTAATAATCATCCAGCCAAATTTGAATGATTAAAAATACTGTTCACCTTGTAAAATTATGTGTCAAAAGTAAAGAAAAAGCATCAGTTAGCTGTGGTGAATGCTGGGGGCGTGTCCTCTGGAGGAGCTTAGACCACGCCCACCTGCTGAACCGTGCTGTAACCGAGGAAACAATGTTTGCAAAGACTGGCAGCCTTATTGGAGTTCTGAAACCCTACTCCTCTGAAGAATATTGATGATGATGATAATGATAATAATAATAATAATAATAACAACAACAGGGGGCGGGGTTATACTGAAGGCTGCTGTGTGACGTCACAGGGCTGCACTTCAAGACACGCCCAAAAAATCCTGAAACACACATATCTTGTTACACAAAATGAATTATATCTCCACAATTCAAATATCTACAGTTGTGAGAACTTTTACTCATTTACAGTGATCCATTTATGACATAACGTTTAAAGAAAACAATGTTACAATTTACACAGACATGAACATTTATAAATATTTTAAGGATGTTGAAGAGAACTTCTTATAATTAGAAAAAGAAGCTGCAGAAAAAGCTAAATATGTACAAAGGTTTTAATTGTTGAAATGCTCTGTAGGAACTGAACATTTCCTTATATGAATTGTTGAAAAAGGACAAAAAGTGTGTAGAGTTACATGATGAAAAATGTAAGAAAGAAAAGTGGATCATGTGCAGAGGAACTGTTTGTAGTTAGCAGCCTGAACACAGCAGAGCTGATCTGATCTGTGAAGCTAAGCAGGGTCGACCTGGTTAGTACTTGGATGGGAGACCACACGGGAGCACCAGGTGTCGTAGCAATGTTAGAGTTTCTCCCACACCGGTCACTAACATTATATACAACCTTTGACCATCAAAGGTCATAGGTGACCTTTAGGATATCAAATCAAATGTTTATAAACTATCATAGAATTGAATAAAACTTCATCTGAGGTAGATACACAGAGTTACTGAATGTTTTACCAACACATACACAAACAGAACGATGACATCATCACATCTTCTGGCAGTGTGCCATGGTTCTGATGATCAGTCAGTCATCAGGAGAACATTTCTTCTTTGATTCACTCTCTCTTCCTGGTAGTCGTCACCCTGTTTTTTCTCGTCACATTTCCAGGATGGCGAGGAGAGCAGGCGAGACAGGAAGTCGGGCCGCCAGCGCTCACGCTCCAGAGACCGCGAGCCCAAACACAGCAAGTCCCGGTCCAAACACGAGCGGGGCTGCAGGGAGCGCAGCCGCTCCCCCGCACACTCCAAGGACAAGGAGCGCAGCCGATACCGATGAGGAGGAGGACTTATTATCACCCAACAGTCCTGTCTGTTAGCAAAATATCTCATATTTCACTGAAACACTCAGTCACTGGATGTCAACCCAGTTCAAGATGGCCGCCATCACCTCAGCTGTACTCCAGATATTTTTACACACATTGATCTAAACTCACTGAGCTTTTGTTTTGTTGTTGCAGTATCCTTGTTTGTTAGCTAAATATCAGATCTGATTAACTTTCAGTGAATCCTATTCAAGATGGCCGCCACATTGAGGCCAGCCCTACATGTTTACATGTTTACAGCTCAGAGTCACAGCTGCTGATTGAGGTGGTAGTAGCAGAGAGTCATCCTCTGCTGGAGGAACAATGTAGATCATCTAAAACCCTGTTTTTATTTGCATGTAAACATTAAAGTTTGTCCTGGGTGTGGAACTTCTGTTATCTGTTTCATCAGTGCTTTTATTTTATCTTTTTCTAACGAAGCTAACATGTTACAGTCGCTCAGTGACGGACCTGCAGCCTTTCTCATGGCTCTGCTCTTGTTTTTAAAATGTCTCTGAGGAACGATGCCGGGCGGTGAGTGCCTTCACGCTGCAGAGAGAAACCAGTGGTGTCTCCCACCGCCCACCTCCCAGATCCTGTCAGAGTCAGAGCTGTGGCTGCGGTTCAACCTGCAGGCGTGGTGCCAGCAACCCGTGTTTAACAAAAAGACGTTAGTTCCTGTAAGTGACTTGTGTTCTGCTGCAGGTTAGTTCTTCTGACTAATTACAGTGTTCAACATCTGGAAAACAAAAACAAGTTTCATAAGTTTGTCTTCATTTTGATTTGTGAGCCTTAAAATCTGAGGAGGACTACACCTGCCGTAACTGGAAATACAGAAACAGCTTGATAAAAGAAATAAATGGATTGATAAATTAGTAAGTAATATGGCAATTATTGCATTAAAACATCAACAAATAAGAGCGTAATTAATTTATTTGACTATACAGTGCAACATAAATTAATTTTATATCATTTTCAACCATATTTAACATTATCACAATAACTTCATTTTACTTTTCATTTCAGTCATATATTTTTTATTTACTTTTTGATTTCATTTATTTTGTCTATAATTTCCCTATTCTATATTTATTACATTTTTATTTTACTATCACATTTTATAGTTATTTTCATTTTATTTACTGTTAATTTTTTATCTTGCATTATTTTATTTATCTTTCACTGATTTATTTTCTCCTATAATATTTCCTCTTTACATTGTTCCCATCCAGTTTTATCCTTCGTTCTTTTATGAACAGCTCTGTTTTTACCACCTCCTGTTGTCACGTAGGGGTCCAAAATCCTCAACTTCATCCAAGCAAAGGGTCAATTTCTGTCAATATTAAATGTTTTAGAACAAAATGTTCTTAAAGAAACACAAAGAAAATAAATTTCTTATTCCTTACTCTATCAACGTTTTCATTTAGTATTTCTAAGATATATTTTATTACAATCCAGCAAATCAGGTAAAAGAAAAGCCCGACTTATTTTTGGGGGGTTGAGAGTTGTCCAGAGTCAAGAAAAATGAAACTATATTATTATTTTACACTTAATATCTTTAGGACCTGATAAAACGTTTATGAAGGCCAGGTTTGGCCCACAGGCCTTAAGTTTAACACGCTTGGTTCTGGATATTCTCTGTATTGTGTTAATGATTATTTAATTAGAAAAGTGAAGCGTCGCTGTTAAAGTTGAAAACAATAGTTTATCCCTTTTAAAGAGGGGAAAACACTGAAGTCAACTAATGAAAATTAATTTTTGCTTTTGAATTTTAATTTACAAGAATTATTGAAATGCCTGGAGATAAAGGACGGTGTGTTCACAGCCTGTTTCATGTGTGAAAAGTAAAAATGGACCAAAGTACCTGTTTTTTTATCAAGATCAAAATATTCTGTTGAACCAAAACTTAACATTTATTAGTTCATTAGTTGTCATTTTATTTTTATTTTATCAGTTTAAAGTTATTTGATTGATCTTTTATGGCCTTATATCTAAACTTTATTAGTTTGTCAGTACGCTCTGAGTTCATCACTGTTATCCTGCAGAAGTGCTACAGCTAGCTGCTGCTGCCAGCAGTATAAACCCAGAGGTTTATATAAATACCAAAGTTATGAAAAATATACAGCAGTGTTGAGGTTTATTAAAAAAACTGCATGAACATGATCTGCTGTATTCAGACTAGCCGTTAGCTCATCAGTTCTGTCAGGTTTCTGTCAGAGGACAAAACACCACCTGAAACTGGTTTTACATCTTTTCCAGTCTGACCCAGAACTGATCCGGTCCATCTTGTTCTGGTCAAAGTTCTTGTATTTTATTCAGTTTTTTATAAAGAGTCAAACAAAACAAGTCATCCTGGGGCTCTGTACAAAAGCAAGAGTACAAATCATAAATTCACTAAGTCCAAAACTGATCCAAAATCAGTTACGGTCATTTCCATGATTCAACAGAATATTATAAAATACTTTACAGTAAAAGTATGGAAGATCTTCCAAATAAAGTTTATCTACAGAAGCCAGCAGGCTGTGATGAAGCTTTGCTACTTTTAGCTAAAAGATATTAAAGTGGACATGTCACACAAAATACACTTTTTTAGCTGATAAATAAACAAGTTGATCTGAGACACGCCTCCAAAAGGGGGCGGAGCTTGTGGAGTTATAATAAGGAGGAATTCAGACCAAAGCACTGCAGTTCCACTTTAAAGAGACCCCAACTGAATGTGAAAAAGAAGCATTTAAAAGCATCACACTGTCTGTCTAATTTAAAAGGAGCAAATCAGAAAATGTAGCAGAACTCATTAGAACTGGAGGCCAGATTAAAGTCATCTAAAAGACATGAAAGATGTTCAGGTCTAAAAACCACAACCTGTCCAAGTGTAGAAACAGAAGTTAAGAGTCATCCAGGTTTTTAATGTCTTTAAGACAAACTACAAACCAGATTCATCAGAGTTAACATTTAAAGAAGTCAGAGGAGTCCACTGTCAGCTGTCACTCATGTTTAACATCTTTCTTAAAGGTCAACACAGAGTTTTTATCATTTCCCAGAAATACAGATCTGTGAGAGGAGTAATGGAAACATTTGTAGCAGAGGAACCTGAATCAGCTCTGTGGGGGATGTGGGGAGGCAGTCCCAAAAGAAAAAAGAGACAGTGAAAGGTGACAACCCCGAGCAGGCTGGAAACACAGGGTTGCACTGTTGACTCCCCCGGGTGGAACCACAGCTGAGACATCCCCAGCTGCCCACGCTGTGGCTCCTCCAAAACCTCTGTCCACATCATCCGGGTGAAAGGTGCACGAGTCAGGCTGTTCACGTCTGAGCCGAGCCTCGTTCTGCTGCTTGTTTCTGAACCATCATGTTGTCATAAAGACGTCCTCAGTAATCTGTCCCACACCTGTGAGTCCACAGTCCTCACATGAACACAGATTTACCTGTTATTCACTTCTGCAGCAGAAACACAAAAACAGAATTTGTGTTTTCTTCCCTGATGGACTATAACTGTAAAATAAAGGTTAACAAAAGGCCACTGACACGTTTGCTTTATTTAGCTCACTCTTCTTACATTTTATTACAAAGTTTTTACATTTAGATGTTATATCTAAGTAGTAGATCCTTAATCTAAATTTTCAAATCTGATCTGAAGGTAAAAGTTAAAGGTTGAAGTTTACATTTAAGTGTTTCAGAATGGAATGCAGCCTTTTTATTAAAACTAATATGTTATATTTTTGGGATAATGCTACAGTAGATGTAGTTTGTAACTGTGCTTGTTTTAGTCTTTATTTTCAGTTTTGTTCACATCATCCAGCAAATCAAACTGCCAGAGGTGGCTTTATAACTGAGAAGGCCTGTTCTTTGTAAATGTTTTTAAAATGTATATTTTAATTTTTTTTAAAGAGAAGGACAAATAGCACATATAGACATAACCATAATTATTTGTGAAGAGGAAGTGTCCCTCTCACATATAAAATCTAACACAGATTTAACATTAAATATTAGTTCAAACAGTGCTGTTTAATTGCCTAACAAACAAATGCATTCCACTTTATAGAATACTTACACCAAGTATTTACTAATGTAGGTAAAAGTATGTAATATATATATA